GGGATAAAGCGATCATCCCAGAGAATTGGATGGGGGGGGGGTTAGTTTGTTTTCTGCTGCTGAAGGTTAACAGGAAAACCGCAGCAGTCAAAGGGCTTTGCTTGGTATGTGGGAAAGGAGGGCGCAGAAGCCGAAAGACAATGGCTTACCATGGCCGCCTGCAAGCCGAATTCTGTTGCCCAGACCTGCGTCTGTGATCTCTAACACCAAAGCCACAGGCACTCAATATTAAGATGGAAAATGTGACCTTGTACTAAAATCACATGTGCTATGTAGTGTGAATAGTGTTGTTCACCGTGAAAGAGTATAAGCATTGTTCTGTAAAATGTATCTTTTTAAAAACTTCTCTCCTTTTTTCCATCCCTCCAGCAGCTGCAAGTTTTTCAAGCCTCCCTCCTCCATCCCAAAGGCTATCTCAGATAAGGCGGAGGAGAAAGAGAACACGAGACGAGATGTTCTCGGAAATAATGGAATGCACCCACAATGAAAGAGCTCATTTGAATGAGGGGAAGGACACGGTATCTAAGTACAGGAAAGATGCCAGTGAACGGGAGGTCATCAGGGACGCTCAAGATGAGAGGTGGCAGGCTGGGGCTGCTGCGTGATCAAACGGACATGCTCCGGCGTCTGGTGGAGCTTCAGGAACGGCAGCAGGATAACAGAGTGCCGCTGCAGCTGCTGTCTAACCTCCCTCCCCCCTCACCGTGTTCCATAGCCTCCTCACCCAGATGTGTAAGAACGCGGGGGGGGGGGGGGGGGGAGGGAGAGGCTCCGTGCACCCTCCCACTCCACCCTCGTGGACAGCCCAACCAAAAGGCTGTCATTATATTGAATTTTTTCAGTGGCCTTTTACTTCCCTCCTGTCCTCCTCCGGGTTACTTGTCGGTTCTCTCCCTACGTTTATAATCAATTAATAAAGAATACATGATTTTTAAACAATAGTGACTTTTTCCTTTAAAAGCAAGCTGTGATTTAAGGGGGGAGGGTGGTTTGCTTACAGGGAATGAGTCAATCAAGGGGGTGGGTTTTCAACAAACAGAACTTTCACACCGTAGCCTGGCCAATTATGAAACTGGTTTTCAAAGCTTCTCTGATGCGCAGCGCTTCCTGGTGTGATCTTCTAATTGCCCTGGTGTCTGGCTGTGCATAATCAGCAGCCAGGCGATTTGCCTCAGCCTCCCACCCCGCCATAAAGGTCTCCCCCTTACTCTCACAGAGATTGTGGAGCACACAGCAAGCAGCAATAACAATGGGAATATTGGGTTGGCGGAAGTCTGACCGAGTCAGTAACGAGCGCCAGCGACCTTTTAAACGGCCAAATGCATATTCTACCACCATTCTGCACTTGCTCAGCCTGTAGTTGAACAGCTCCTGACTCCTGTCCAGGCTGCCTGTGTATGGCTTCATGAGCCATGGCATTTAGGGGTAGGCTGGTTCCCCAAGGATAACTATAGGCATTTCAACATCCCCAACGGTTATTTTCTGGTCCGGGAAGTAAGTCCCTTGCTGCAGCTGTTTAAACAGAGTAGTGTTCCTGAAGACGCGAGCATCATGAACCCTTCCCGGCCAGCCCACGTTGATGTTGGTGAAACGTCCCTTGTGATCCACAAGTGCTTGCAGCACCATTGAAAAGTACCTCTTGTGGTTTATGTACTGGGTACCCTGGTGCTCCGGTGCCAAGATAGGGATATGGGTTCCATCTATCGCCCCACCACAGTTAGGGAATCCCATTGCAGCAAAGTCATCCACTATGACCTGCACATTTCCCAGAGTCACTACCTTTCGTAGCAGCAGCTCAGTGATTGCTTTGGCTACTTGCATCACAGCAGCCCCCACAGTAGATTTGCCCACTCCAAATTGATTCCCGACTGACCGGTAGCTGTCTGGCGTTGCAAGCTTCCACAGGGCTATCGCCACTCGTTTCTCAACTGTGAGGGCTGCTCTGATCTTGGTATTCTGGCGCTTCAGGGCAGGGGAAAGCAAGTCACAAAGTTCCATGAAAGTGCCCTTACGCATGCGAAAGTTTCGCAGCCACTGGGAATCGTCCCACACCTGCAACACTATGCGGTCCCACCAGTCTGTGCTTGTTTCCCGGGCCCAGAATCGGCGTTCCACGGCTATAACCTGCCCCATTAACAGCATGATCTCCAAAGCCCCCGGGGCCCGTGGTTTGATAGAATTCCATGTCCATATCACTCTCGCCGCCGCGCTGCTGTAGCCTACTCCTCGCCGCCTGGTTTTGCAGGTTCTGGTTCAGCATAAACTGCATGATAACGCGCGAGGTGTTTACAATGTTCATGACTGCTGTCTTGAGCTGAGCGGGCTCCATGCTTGCCGTGGTATGGCGGCTGCACTGTTCACCCAGGAAAAAGGCGCGAAACGGTTGTCTGCCATTGCTTCCCTGGAGAGGGGGGAGGATGTATCCAGAACCACCCGCGACAATGTTTTTGGCCCCATCAGGCATTGGGATCTCAACCCAGAATTCCAATGGGCGGAGGAGACTGCAGGAGCTATGGGATAGTTACCCACAGTGCAACGCTCTGGAAATCGACGCTAGCCCTGCTACATGGACGCACACCGCCGAATTAATGTGCTTAGTATGGCCGCATACATTCGACTTTATACAATCTGTTTCCAAAATTCAAATTATATAAATTCAGATTAATCCTGTAGTGTAGACATACCCTGCGTCTCAGTTTACACTGAAGGACCTCTGTTAAAGGTGTTACAATTTATAGTGTAGAGTGGACCAAGGGTTTTTTTTGGGTTACGTAACTTATTGCTTTATGCCATTTAAGCCTGTCTATATATGGAGTTTTTCAGAAAGAGCTTTTTTAATCAGGCTGTTCCTGAGTAACTATGTGTAGACACATTTTTATTCCAGAGTAAGTGTCCACACGTGGAGTTATTCAGGAGAACTAGATAGAAAGAGCTCTTTCTGAGGAACTATATTTAGATAAGCCTTTATTGCAGCCAGCTCTCATGACTTATGTGTAAAGAGGACCTTAGACTGTTTAGGACATTCCAGCTTCACTTTTTGTTCCTTTCACCATGCACTGAATCAGGACTCAATCTCATTGTGATTTCCAATCACCAGAGGAACTTGGAACACTTAGGCTAGGTCTACACTACAGCGGGGTTCCAACCTAAGATACGCAACTTCAGCTACGTGAATACCGTAGCTGAAGTTGCGTATTTTAGGTCGGCTTACCTGGCGGTGAGGACGGGGGAAAGCCGACCGCTGCCACCGACTCCGCTGCCGCCTCTTGTCGAGGTGGATTTCCGGAGTCGACGGCAGAGCGATCAGGGATCGATTTTACCGCGTCTTCACGAGACGCGGTAAGTCGATCCCCGATAAACCGATTGCTACCCGCCGGATCGGCGGGTAGTGAAGACGTAGCCTTAGTATCTAGATAAAAGTTACTCAGTGTGCCTTGGTGTGTTGCTTCAGATGCAAGATTGGTATCCACAGCTCCTAACTGGAACAAGGCTATACATTAAAATTGGTGGTGGACAAATACTGCAAGTTCAGAAGAGCATGTATCTGGGCACCAATATACAACAGAAGGGCAATTTACAAGTGCATATTAATATAGATCAAAGTGATTTCAGAGACCTGTTTTTAGAAGGGCTTTGTTAAAAGCTTCAAATTGCCCCATCATTACTCCACTTTGAAGACTGACCGCTTTTGACTCGTTTGAAAAGCTAGTCTTTTCTTAAATGCCAAATTAGGCATGTATTTGATCTCTTTATACCATCTGTTTATAAACTAAAGCTAACAAAACTTCTAGTAACTATAAATCCAATGAAAAGCTGACCATTTGACTTCTCTGGTACTTAGATTGCACCTCTAATAAGTACAAGGCTAAATTCTGTAGTGAGGCAAGCTTGTATTGACTTCACTGAAAGTTGAGCCAGATACTGTACTACAGGATTTGGCCCAATATCTGCTATTTTACAAACATACCATGACAAGTTTTGGATGAATACCAGGTGCTTTAGGTGATGCAATGTACCTGAACTTCATAGCTTGTTCCAGTCAGAGTACAGTTAAGAGAGACGCTGCCTTTCTTTCAAATATGCCCTTAGACTCAAAATTTCTCTGTCTTCTAGAAAAAGCAGAAAGCTAACTTGTCGGTTTCTTAAATATCGTCTTTCCATCTTTTGCATTATGGTCACAGTGTGGTCCTAATTTTCAGCAACATTAAAACTAGTGTGTGTGCTTATCTTACCAGGTTTTGGCTTGCCTGGGCAATTCATATAGCTGAAGCATTGTACAGTATCAAGTTATGCAAGTAAGTTGTGTGGGGTTGTTGTTTTTTTAAATTCTCCTCTCTTAGATTTTATGGACAAGATTTAAAAAAAAAAGCCTAAAAAGGTAAATATGGGTTTAGGAACCTAACTTCAGGCACTGTTACTGAGGGAATTTGGGAGGAAGAGTTCATCCTCCCATGTGGTGCTCTGATATTTCAATTAGCCATTTAAAAAAAAAATTGAATTCTGCCAAGTCTATCAGTTTAAACATTTTTTCTATTAGATTTAAACTTTTACAACTGAGTAAATCTGTGAGTTTTAAACATTTTTATTATTTCTATCAAATTAAGTTTTCAGTTGTGGGAAATTGAAAAGTATCAATTTTTTAATGAGAGGCATTGAGATTCAAAAAGTTAAAGCCTTATAACCCTTAACACTAGTTGTCAAAATATATAAAGTAAATAAATATCCTTAAACTGAGTTCTCAAGCAGCATTTTTCTTATCTGCAAATTTCAGTTATTAATTAAAAGTATTTTTATTGGTCTGTGTGTTTGAAATTGATGTTTACTGACATTTACCGATTAATCTTTCCAAATCTAACTATAGTGCAGAGTGCCATAGAAGAGAGTCATATCAGTAGGTGGAATAAAAACAATTATGGTACTTTTTTGGGGGGGAGGAGGGGAGAGGAGTGGGGAAGAGGGTGGTCAAGGGAGCCCTTGACACCTGTCCCTGCCTCTCCCCCCCTTTCCATCATTTATACTCTTTCCCTTATGAGAGAGGAGAATCTGGATGAAAACAGAGTCAAAGATGGCCTGTCTCTCAGGCAGTCTGTCTTTCTGGATTCAGCTCTATGAGCTTGGTCTATCAGAGTCTATTACCGCCTTAGTGGGGCCTACCTTCTGCCCCTCTAGGGATTTACTGCTTTGCTGCCAGTCAGGTCAGTTGAAAAGGCAATGGTCACAAACTGCACTATCTGTTGGCAGTAGTCTCTGAAGTGGAATAGCCTTCTTCCTGTTCACTGTCCCTTTCCTTTTTAAGCTTCTTCCATTCCAGGAAGAACAAGCCTTGCAGGTTTGCTTCATTAGTGCTAAACAGGCCCAAAAGAGCTGGTTGATCACCCCTACACCAGAGTGAGGGCACGTCCCTTCACATACCTTCAAATATTAAGACCAAATGAGGGGCTTTTCTTTAAGCAGATCTCAAAGATAAACAGGATTATTGGCCTAGTGTATGGGAGAGAAGCTGTAGATTTCAAATCTTGATTTTAGTAAGGCTTCTTGATACAGTCTCACACACCAGCCTCATAAGCACATAGGGAAATGTGGTCAGGATGAAATTACTTTAAGATGGGTGCACAGCTGTCAAAAATACCATGCTTAAAAACTAATCAATGGTTTGCTGTCAGACTGGGAGGGTGTATCTAGTGGTATTCTGCAGGGATCTGTCCTGGGTTAAATACTATTCAGTAATGACTTGGACAATGGAGTGAAGAGTATGCTTATAAAATTTGCAGATAACACCTGGATTCAAAGGACCTTGACAAATTGGAGAATTGGTCTGAATTCAACAAGATAAAATTAACTAAAGACAACCACACTTAGGACGGGGTTTGGGGACAGGGGAAAAAAAAACAAAACCCAACCTCAAATGTACAGCTACAAAATGGGGAATAACTTGCTGGCTGGCAGTACTGCTGAAAAAGGACCTGGGGCTTACAGGGTATCACAAACTGAACAAGTCAACAATGTAATGCAGTTGCAAAAAAAGTTAGTACTCTGGGATGTTTTAACAGAACTGTTGTATGCAAGACAAGGTTAGTAATTGTTCCACTCTCCTCAGCACTGGTGAAGCCTCAGCTGGACTACTGTGTCCAATTCTGAGTGCCACACTTGAAAGATGTGGACAAATTGGAGAGAATCCATAGGAGAGCAACAAAGATGATAAGAGATTTAGAGACTCTGACCTATGAGGAAAGGTTAAAAAAACTGTCCATGTTTAATCTAGAGCAGTGGTTCTCAAACTTGTTCCGCCGCTTGTGCAGGGAAAGCCCCTGGCAGTCCGGGCCGGTTTGTTTACCGATCGCGGCTCCCAGACTGCCAAGCGGCGGAACAAGTTTGGGAACCACTGCTCTAGAGGAAAGAAGACTGAGGAGAGAGACCGGATAGTCAAATCTTATAAAAAGAAGACTGTAATCAATTATTCTTCTTGTCAACTGAACGTAGAACAAGCAGTAATGGGCTTAATCTGCAACAAGGGAGACTTGGGTTAGATATTAGGAAATACTTTCTAACCATAAGAATAGTTAAGATCCGGAATAGGCTTTCAAGGCAGGTTGTGGAATCCCCATCATAGAAGATTTTTAAAAACAGGTTGACCAGACACCTGTCAGGGATGGTCTAGGTTTACTTGGTCCTGCCTCCGCACAGGGGGCAGGACTTGAGGACCTTCCAGCCCTACATTTCTGTGATTCTATAAAATAACTTCTCAGCATCTTTGTAATCAATAGAGCTGATACATCTTGTGAAAAATGCGAGTGTGGGGCTAGGCAGGACTGGGCTGCCACCTAGTGGGTTTTTGTGAAATAGAAAATGTGTATAAAGGAATTCTGGAATATAAGGATTCTGTTTGCATCAGTCAGTGTCCAGAAGTTGAGCCCTACTCAAACAAAGATGTATATGGCTCAGGAGTAAAAGATTGTGAAGGCTCTACAGTCAGAGTAATTGTTCTTATGTTTACTCTAAACCCCATGTTGATCAGCAGTTCTTTTGAAACTTAATACTTTCAACTGATTAAAAAAAAAAAGAAAGAAAAGAAATTATGTAGCTCTTCTGCCAACTCAAAGTTGCAGCCTTGCTTACATCTTGGTTCATGCGTACTGGGAAAGGGAAGACAGTCTCATGCAGTGTTCTAGAAACCTACACATGCTCTTCTTCCACTTGTCACAGGCTATCTGGCACTCCTTATTCAGACAAACAAAACTTCAAAGTAAATAGTGCTTTTGTTTTGTCCATGTAACGATTGCTTAATATGGCCCTCAGATTATTTGTATTTGGAAAAAAAAAGTTGGCCTCAGTTGATTTAATTAAAAGGGAGTATGAAGTGATGCCTATTTGTAGTTATATAACTTCCCAGTTTTAAAAGGAGAAAGGGCAGACTTCTCTCTGTTAAAAATACCTACGATTGTGCACAAATTTACAAGAGCATATGCCTGATGTCAGACATAGTAGGTATGACAACCCCTTTCTAGGTTTTGCACCCTACAGAAAGCACTTAAGTTTATACAGCATTATTAAAATGTGAAGTACTATGAAGAGGCAGAAATAAAGACTGCTTACTTAACACCTTGTTTCTGATAATCCTCTGTCCAGGCAGCTGCTGTTAATATAATTCCAATGATACTAACATCCACTTTCCAGTAGTACTTGTAGACATTACTAAGGAGACAGGAAATGAAATTGAACAGTTAAATCTCATTGAGGGTAGAAAGTATTTGTTTGCCTAGATTATATATACACACACTTTTTGCAAGAGCGTAATCTTGCATAAGCAAGTTGCAGTATTTGAAAAACTGTCAATGAATGCAGAAAAAAAAACCTCAGGAACACTAAAACCCTGTTTAGACTACAAGAGTATAGAGCTAATGTGTTTTAAACACTGCCTTTCTTTACAGTAGGTACTAAAAACATGTTCACATGTATTAGCTGATACATTTGCTATCTACTCATCTTCCTCATGTAGACAGGGCCCAACAGTATAAACAGGGTTAGGATATTTTAGTTGAAATTGGTAGAGGGAGCACCAAGTAAGTTGAGACAGTGTGTATAGTTAAAGCTTCCTGTCTTACACATGTTCAATCAGACCTGGAGTCTAGCCCATCAGCTATTTTTATACCTCCAATAATGAGCTTTTCACTTAGTTCCTGACCAGTTTGTCAGGAGCTTTTGTGGCATTATCTGTTTACCTTTTCCCCAATATAAAGGAAGGGCAGGAAAAAGTTAGAGCTTTACATTTTTGGGGATTGTTTTTTAATTAATCTAAATGCACTCCCAGTCTTAGTCTACAGTGACTTAAAGCATATGCTAGATCTCTTGATACTATTAGCCATATGCTGTTGGAAATGGCTGCAGCACGGGAAGAAGCCATTATTCTGATGGTTTCACCAGTGAAAGTTGTGATTTCCAAAGCAATAGCACCTGACGAGGGAAGGAGAGGGTTGGAGGCTTGTCTCTAACTAGCAGGTGTGCTGCCATCAGTAGCATCTTTTTCCCTCCTTTCTGCACTATGGAGAAATGCCAAAATAGTTAGCCAACCCTGCACCTGTTGAGGTCACAGATCTTTTAATGAACATTCAAGAGGTTAAGTTAAATTAGTGTTAAATGTGCCTCATATGTTCATTTTGTTTGAATTTACCTTGGAAATGTATAGTCAGTACAAAAGTTGCAAACTGTATTAATTCAAAGACAGTTGAGAAAACTACTCAAGTGTAATCTCAATGGATCTGGGTTAGTATTGCTCCCACCACACTGTGATGTACTGTTCTTGGGACTGCTAACCATCACTGTGCAGCCCATTTCTGGGCTGACAAAGTAGTCTGAAATCATTACATAAAGCACTGAAGGCCATTAGTCTGTTTAGTGACTAGTGTTTCCACAGAATCAACTTTCCACATGCAAATCAGCTGTTCCATATGAAAAAAGTTTCACTGTTTAAGAAACATGATCCCTGTTATTGCTGCTAAGTCTCATCTGTTCACATTTTTAACTTATCACTGCCCCTGAAATTCCTGCTTCATAAGATAGCAAAAAAGGAAGTCTGTGTGTAACTAACTTGCTGTCTATTCTCCAGGCTGCCACTGTAACTGAAAAGCTCTTACCATAATGAAAATACATTAATAAACTATCATGTAGGGATTTGCTTAGCATACTGTACTTGACTTCATGATTACTTTATACTAGTAATGCCAAATGTCTCATCCCCATGCTTATTTTGCACTTCAGTATGTATAGACTGTACATAATGTTAACATTGACAGCATCAATAACTTGAGTTAATATGTCAAAAACATGTCTAGTGATCGTGGTTAATAAGTCTTCATTAGTGGTACAGACTGCGTTAAATGGAGTGTAAAAGTTGAGCCTCATTACTAAACATTCCTCACATCAAGGTGCTTTGAGCTGTAAACATCAATCAATATGATCAGTGGTGTGTTAGATCCATTTCACAGTTCACTTTTATGGAGAGTGTATAGTATGTTAAATAAAAACTAACTTTGTTTTACTGCAGGACCAAAGGCATCACTGACAGCTCTGTTCAACGTCGATGGTTCATCCAAACCTTCCTCTTTGGTATAGCTTCTCTCTCCCACCTGCTAGCCTACAAGCCTCCGCCTAAGAAGCAGAGATAAAGGATTGGGAAAGAGGCAAATAAGGCTAATATATTTCAACCTTGTTCTCACAAAGTGGATCCACCCTATGTGTTTCTGTTGCTGTGAATGATCTAAAAGGCATTTCCTGTTATGTGAGCCAGTGCACTCGTGCCAAGGCAATTTTGTGGTATCATTGTTATTATTAAATGCCTGGTTTGAGATATGGGCTCACTTGATAGCTCAAGAAATTAGTATGGGAACATGGAGCATCTCACTTTGTGCTTGCAAAATTCAGTCCAGATATCACTGCCCTCAGTTGGTTGTTTAATGGCCTATATCTAAGGCTACGATTTTGTCACGGAGGTTGCAGAAGTCACAGTGGCAGGGGGCCAAAGGTGACTCGGAGGGACACAAAGTGGGCGCCAGCTAAAGGGGATGTGTCCTCCCCACGTGACTCCTCGCCACCCCTAGCCTGGGGTCTCTGCGCTCTCCCCATCCCACATTACCTCAGGGGGTGGGCTCTGTCCTCCCGCTGTACCAGCTCCCCCTGGCATGTTCGGCTGCTCTTCCTGGAAGCCAGGCCCCAGAGCTGTTCCCGGATGCTGCCTGGTGCAACACAGTAGCTGCCTGGGAGAGTGCCTGGCTACCTCCCGCCCGGGCTTGGCTTCTGGGACAGCGGCTGAGCGAGTTGGAGCCCCCCCCAGACCTCTCAGAATTGGCTCCTGTCCCCAGAAGCTGAGCCTGGGCTGGGGGCAGCCTGCTGCTGCCGCAGCCAGGTGCTCTCCCAGTCAGCCGCTACACTGCGCCAGGCAGCATGGCTGGAAGAGGAGAGGCTCTGGCCCGGGCCGGCTGCTGGAGGGCACTTGACCCTGCTGGAGGGGCACTTGGCCCTCCGTTCTCCTACCACAAGTCACCCCTGCAGAGGCCCCCAATGCATGCCAGCCATGGAGCTCCCAGTCGGCCAGGAGATCCTGGAGCTCTGAGCCATAGGCAGTGGGGGCCCCTGGAGTGCCAAGCTGGGGACCCCGCAGCTGCCCCATTGCTGTGGGCGGTGGGAGACACCAGAGCCCCAGCAATGATGCGTGCTGGACCCTTTTCCCTACCCATTTTATTATGAATATTTTTAGTACAAGTCAGGGACAGGTCACGGGCTTCCGTGAATTTTTGTTTATTGCCCGTGACCTGTCCCTGACTTGTACTAAAAATATCAGTGACAAAATCTTAGCCTTACCTATAATTCTATGTTCAATTTGCTTCTTACTGAAAAGCACAATTCCTCTCCACTCCCACCCAAAGAAAACCCCACCACGCTTGTTGGCAATAGGCATTAAGATAGAACTACCCTTTTTTTGGTAGGTGTTTTTCTTCCACATCAGCAGAGAGACACTTTACTTATGTAGTGTAGAGAAGTCTCTGCCTGTTCTAGGTTAGAACTGTTTTCCCAGGCTTTCAATAAATAATTTTCACCAACATTTTTGGTTAAAAAATTCCACCTACATGTTTTTATCTTGTTCAGTCTTCCCATATCAGAGGGAAATGTCCCTAAGGTTAGGTTGCAGGAACACTAACAAGTGGCTACATTATACAGGATGATGTGCAATGATCTGAGCCACAATATGTAGTGAAACAATTCACCCTGTTAATTTAAGGTGACAGAGAACTTGTTGACGTTACCTTGCCTTAAGTCTCGCACAGTGGGAACTTGTCTCTTTGAATGGTGAGTTTAGATTATGGAAGTCAGTGACCAAATATAACTTGAGGGAGAGCAGACTAAGTGCAGCTATTTTCTGAATGACTGATTAACAATACATGTAGAAGTTATAGAAGGTTAATTAGGATTCCTAGATATAACATTTTCTTATCTCAAAACATAAGTCTTTTATATCTACTGTTACTGTAATGAAATGTAGATTAACTTTTCAACTAGATGTTAATGCACTGGTCCAAGAGACTCTGTATTATTCAGTTCCCCAAATGTAAGGAGTAAAATTCTGCTCCATCTTTCTTAGACCACCTCTAATAAGCAGTCAATTTGTCTGTGGTTTGACAGGTTTCACTCTACTGTACACTATTGTATCTATTGTTGGACTTTTCAGGAGGATTAAGAGATTGAAAACGTGTTCTGTCATGTTTTAACATTGCTCCAAAGGAGCATGACCACTTAAAATATCTGAGCTGCTATATTCAAGGTATTTTTGGGGGGGAAAGATGGTTACAAAGTATTACTACTATGATTCATAGCTAAAACTATTATTTAGTCATGGAAGTCACGGAAGTCATGGAATCTGTGACTTCCAGCAACCTCAGTGACTTCAGCCTGTGGTGGTTGGGAGCTGCAGGGTCCCCTGCCGCCCGCAGGGGGGCAGGGATCTGCAGCATACTCCTGTCGCCTCTGGCGGCCCCTGGAGCTCATAGCTCCCCATAGCTCCCAGCCCCCACAGGCAGTGGGGAGACCCCCGGAGCTGCACATGGCAGGGGTACCCCCCAGCCGCTGCAGGCAGCTCCCAGCTCCTGCGCAGCTGCACTGCTTCAGGCAGTGCATGGACCCGAAGATCCCCATTTTGTCATGGAGATTTTTAGTAAAAGTCACGGATAGGTCACAGCTTCCATGAATTTTTCTATTTTGCCCGTGACCTGTCTGACTTTTACTAAAAATATCCATGACAAAAATCTTAGTCTTATTCATAGCCCCTGTAGTACTAGGCTCCTTTTGGGGTGGAGGGGAGACTACCTGATGGCTCTTACATAAATGGAGAGAGCAGCTGCCAGCCCCGTTGCTGCAGTAGTGGAGTCACCTTGAGTAATCTTAAATACTTCAGGCAGTGCCTATGTCTGCCTGTGTACCAAGGCTGGCAGATTTCTCAGTGCTGGCACTGCCCTTTTTAAGCAGCTAGTAAAGGGGTGCAGAGGCTTCATTCAAGCACTAGAGCATAGGGAGTTAACTTCTTAACAAATTCTGCTCTAAGTGTAAAGGTATAAAGGCACACCTGAAGAGTTAATAGGCAGTTTAACAACAACAGTCCTGTGCTGTTAAGTGTAAGAGCATCTAGGAGGGTATAGTGTCATACCTGGTACTAAAGAACAGGGTGTGAGAGCACAAGCTTTGCTTCATTTCTGTAATCGGCCTGCCCCTTTAGAACTTCCAGTCCTTGAAACCTAAAAATAAAGAATAGAGAGAAAAAGCTGCCTTGAGACTTTTACTTTTGTGAATTGGCAAAATAGGTTAACCAGATGAACAACAACAAAAAAACCACAAACACACACCTATATACTCAGTATAAATACTCACTGTGAACCACAGCTGTCTGAAATGCCCATTTAACATATACTATTTCTTTCACAGATTTCCACACACTTTCCAAAGAGTAAATCCCACAAGATGCCTGAGAACTAGTTATTAGACTGAAGGACAGAGATTACAACCTCTCTAAAGTTACAGTTAATCATGGCAGAACTGGGAATAGAACACAGGAATCTTAACTCTTAAGTTCCTCATTCCCTCCATTTCTAAAAATGTACACAGTAGGCTGGACTACTGTGTGAATATCTTTATTTTCATGAGTTCCAAGGAAGATTTTTTTAGTTTAAACAATCCTATGGGTCTGTTAAAACTTGTTAAATTGTCAACAAAGTATTTATGAGCCATAGAAGAATGGCAGGCAGGGAATTGTCTGCCCATCCTGCATAGTGTTGCTGTCATGAGGATATTAGAGAGATAAGAAGTCCTGCCTCAGACAATTAAACTCCTGCTGCACTATGGTAAAGGCTCCCTGGCAACATGCAGGGATATTCAACACTGCATAATTAGTTAAAGTAGCCCATAACTATAGATAAGGTTATAGATATATAGATGGGTATTTTTAACAATGGCAAGTGAAGCAGGCATCATTACAAATCCATCCAACTACAAGCTTAAAGCACTCGCAGTGCTGTAGCAGAGGTGAGTCAGCAAGGTTGTCACAATAAGGCAGCGAAGCAGTAAGCTACATTGGGAGTAGATAACCAGTCTTTCGCCCCTTCCAAGAAACCTGAGAAATAAAGAAAGGGACACTGAGAGCGCCTCATCACCGGCACCATCTCCTACTGCTAAGAAAAAGGTTTAAAATACAAGAAGGAGAAAATTGACTAGAAAGAGAAATGGAGAAGATAAACAGAGTTAGGCCCAGGATAGAGACAAGAGAGTGGCTCTTCCCTGAGGACAAAACAATGTTATGAAGGGTCTTGTATACTTTAGGTCAATATTTAGACAGCACAGACCAATGGCTCATCAGCAGGACCTCTTCATTGTTTTCAAAACACCATGTGCGTGCACACGCAGTGCCACAGAAATAACAATTTGGATAGGATTTTCAAAAATGGCAGGTACTTAGGATATTGGGACTTACCCTGTTTCTCCATACAGTACAGACTAATCTCTCGCAGCTAACTATATCCCAGTATTAAGGGTTGCCCCCGGGTCCTTTCAGCAAGATATGGCTGCCAATCCAAGGGGCAAGCCTTCATTTTATTGTTATAATCATTTTGTTTCTTCAAGTTCAGCATTGCTAATATATTTATACCTTTACCCCACAGTTGAAAGGAACAATCACTTGCTCATAGTTCTGTTTATACTCAGATTCTGAGCACAAGTCCTGATTCTTAGTTTATCCCTGCACTTGGGGCAGGAACTCCCCAATGCAAACCCTGTATTTTATGGCAGCTGGTGACCTTTGCAGCCTCTGATGTAGGTTACAGTTTAGTTAGTTACTGCTCTAACTTAGTGCCCTCTGTCCATGCCTCCTCACCACCTACAACACCCCATACACCAGTGGGGGTAGGAGTTGGCCAGAATGGAGCCCTTGAGCCAGCTTCTCATGAGCTAGAGGCCTTCAGCACAGAGTGGCATAAAGGTACCTTGGTGCTACTGCAAATCAAATCCACAGCTTATGCTCATTACAGCTTTTGGCTACCAGTCACAGTGAGGTGGGCATGCTCCCAAGTGCAGCTCTGCACAGCGATCTTTGTAGTGCTGGGAGCTAGGATGCAACCTATTAGGAAGGGCTGGTGGATTTATCCTTTCAAAGGAAAGAAATAAACAGGCAAGAGAAATCTCACCACAGAATAAGAAAACTACTGTGAAAAATATATTCAGGTGATAACTAGCTAAGCCATCTTTGGTAATGGATTTTGTTTTTAAAAGAAAAGATTTTAATATTTTTAGAGGACATTAGCCAGGTATTTTTCATGATTTAAAAAATATTCTCTCCCCATTCCATTGCACATGCATAGCACTTTGGGCTGGTGCCATTGATTTTGT